CAGCAATGCTGGCGTGTCGCTGAGGCCTCTGCGCGCAGGATACATCCCGCCCACGTCTCAAGCAGAGGGTTCTGCGGAGTGAGTCCTTTGCAGCTCTACGGATCTGGCAGTCCCAGTCATCAAATTGGTTTCGGGTGGAAATTCTTGTGGTAGGCAACCTCGCATCGGTACGGCCTGCGGGGCCGTCGCATCCTCGTGTGGTGCAGATCTGCGGACAAGTCTCAATACAGATCAGAATTCATAGCTTCCTCCCCGACGCCCTACGCTCAGGCGTGGCTCGCTTTGCTGCCGCTGGGGCCGGCATGCCAACGCTGCATGCGCGGCCCCGAGATCGGCAGCAAGACCAACTCGCGTTTGCTTCTGTAGTCTGTGCGTGCTTCTGCCGGTGCATCACTGGCATCAGGGTCAAAGAGTTCACGGAAGGTTTTCAGAGACGAATGCAATGGTTTTCTCTTCCTGCATCTGCAAAAGGATTTCCTCTCCCAGCGGCTGCAAAGGTTTCGGAACCTTGTGTGTTGAATTCGAGGTGGGTCTCGTTGGCTATGGCCTTGTGGGCCAGGAGCTGACACGAGTGGTCCCAACAGCCTTGGCATTTGCTTTTTCGGACCATAAAAAGATGGTCTGGTTGGCAAGGGCAAGAGCTGGTCGGACAGATGTGTGCAGCAGCACCCAAGCTGGAGAAAGAGATCGGGGCCTGTGCCCTAGCCTGTGGCCGGTACTCCAGCTGCCAGGATGTGAAAGCTTGATGCGCTCGCTGCAGGTGCGCATCGAGATCGCCGCGGTGTCCCGTTCCCGCGCCTGGAGCCGAATGCTGCGGTATCTGCCAGATGCCTGTGCGTGTCAAAGGCCTTATGGATCATTTCCACTTTGCACGCGTGCACCGCCCAAAGATGATTCCCGCCACATGCAGCGAAGTGAGTTCCACCCAGAGAGGTTGACAAAGGAGGTTGCCGAAATTCGGTTGCGACACGTTCACTCGCAACCTCCAGGTAACATTGATGCATCGCAGAAGAGAGATGTCAGACATGGGAACTGGACGAAGGGAGAAATTGCATGGAAACGACAAGTAAAATTCTGTTCAACGTCTCCAGGGTCAAGAAACGGTACCCTGCATCACCTAACTCACACAGGTACCTCCTCTGTATCACGGAGACACATGGGGCGTCACTGCCGTTTTCGGTGCTGTAATCTCTCGCCCAGTCAGTTGTTTGACCAGTTCTCGAATTTTGCTAAACGCTGCTATATAGCCACACACTGAGACCATGGCGCTTCTGCCGGCTGGCACCGCAAGCTTTACAGAGTGGCCGGAAAGTCAGGCATGGGGATTCCACTGTCAGCTGCCATGACATTAGTGGTGCACGTTGAGCAGGAGGAGGCGGCAGACCTGAAGAAGCTAGGTGGTGGGCCCACTGCAGCGCACGCCTGTGGTTGCTGGAGACCCGAGGCCAGCATGTGGTGGACTTGGCCGCAGCAAGTGGTCTTGGCCTCGGAAGGCGGAGTTTGGCCGCGCACATAGTCGTGCAGCCATTATCAACCACAATCGTATTGTCTTGTGTTCTGAATTGATCTGTGTATGGCTGTGCTTTGAGGTGGTCGTGCATTGATTGTGGACAACACAGCTCATGCCTTAGATGATGTTTTGCGCACAGCTCCCGGATGTGCTTGAGGTCCAGAAGCTTGAGACATGGTGTAGCTCCAGCAATTGGCCGCGGATTAGATTCGGGGATGGCGACAAATCCCCAGCGGGTTTAATCGCAGGCTGAGTGAGATCCTCCCTGGCGGCAGCTCCCTGCAAGTGCTGAATCTACAGAGTCGTAAGGCCTCCGATGCCCCTGCGGAGCTCTACGAGGCAGTTCGACACAGAATGCCCGAGTTCTGGAGTTCGTTTCCTGGGCAGTTCGAGTTGCAGGCGTGGCTGTTGGCCGGTGCGGATGTCGCAACGCCCAACAAGCGAGCAGGCAGTGGGCCGATGCCACGCTACGCTCTCCTGGCAAGTCGTTGCTTCCGGGGGGATGGGAAATTTCTCGCCCTTGCTGCAGCTCTTTTGTGATACCTGTGACAGCTTGTGTGTTCCATTCTGGGTCTTGTGTGGTCTTCACTCAGCAAGGAAAGCAATGCTTTGTGAAAGGCGCCTGTTTCTTCTCAGCCAATGAGCCATCCTGCAACTTGTCGCCAAAACAGCCCCTCTCACAATGAACGGAAGGGAGATAGACCCCAAGATGGCTGCCAACCGTCTGACGACGACATGGCAAGTCGTCTGCGTCGGCTGGCCGCCTGGTTTGATCTTGGGCTACTGGATGTCGGAAGCTTGATTCCCAGCCTGAGCAGCTCAGAGATCGCGTGGAGAATTAGCCGACATCACCAGGCCCCACAGGCGACAGCATGATGCTGCATCAGCATTCCCGGGAAGGAGTAAACCTGAGCATGGCAGTATTATTAGCATCACTGCGGCGAGCAACCCTGAGCATCAGCAGGTCTGGGGGACAGCATCACCAGCATCAGAAGGCTCGCGGGCGAGCCACCCTCAGCATCAGCACCCTACAGATCCGACTATCACACGGCAGCATTGGCAGTGACTGCGGGAGCCACTGCCACGGCAGTAGTAGCCGTGATACAAGCCCGCTAAGCAGCTGTCGACTGTCGTTGTCTTCTCGATCGAGGCAGCAATCGTCGCTGCAAACATCGTGGTGGTGCTTGTGGTCTCCGTGGGTGATTATATTGGCAGGGCCTCCGGGGTAGGACCGTTCTCCTGTCCTGGTGATATTGCATTCTTTTTCGCGCATTGATTGCGCATCATCTGATGGTCACTGCTGCTCAGCTTTAATCGCGTGGCCAGGAGAAGATTATGGAGGCGTCCCGCAAGAGCGGCGCGCGCTTCTTGTACGAAGCAACGGTCCGCAGCCCGAGCATCCCCGAGCGGCTGAGCGTCGCAGACTTTGGCCCTCAGGTCGGTGCCGGGCTCCCCGTTGTGGGCCCGCTGCAGGCGTTGCTCAGAGCGGGCGACGAAGTGGACACCGCCAGGGCCTCCAAGCGCGGCTTGAGTGGGAGGGGAATCTATATGTTTCCACTGTCCCTTGTCATGCCCGAAGTTTTGGCAGCACTACGGATGTTTTTCGAGTCTATGCCGTTCACATCACATGTAACAAAGATTTGCGTGATCAGGTGTCCGGGATTCTCAATTTCTTCCTTCCGAGAATGGCACAGCTTATTTTCTGGATTCGGCGCTAGGGCCAGATTTTGGCATTTGTGCCGGCAAACTCTGCTGGACATGTGGGAGGTTGCCAATGCATGGTCTCCTTTTGAGAGTTGTTGCATGTTAGCAGACGATCCAACACCGTGCGTTCTCTTTCGTTTCCTGTCAAGTCTGATATTAAGAACACCTTAACGTCAAGTTGCTTTTGAGCCGAAGCCCACGCGCTTCAAGACTCGACACACATTCCGTTGCAACCTCGTGAACCGCACAACACCTTGGTTCTGCTCCTGCTGTGTTTCTTCATGCTCCGGCCTTGGAAGCCGCTTGTGAATCTGTGCATGTGTTGCCAATGTGGCTCGGTACCCTAGGTGGAGGGCATCTTCAGTGGCACCCTGTCCTACATCTTCAACACGTGGAAGCCTGGATCTGAGAGATGCGGCTGTGGAGGGGCAAAGTGCTAGTAACGCCTCGCAAGGCCCGGTGTGAAGTTCTCTGAAGTGGTGAAGGAGGCGAAGGACAAGGGCTTCACCGAGCCCGGGACTTTCCCCCTTTCCTGAGCTTGGATCCTAAGTCTTGGCGCCTGAGGCCCGATCCGCGAGATGACCTGGGAGGAACCGACGTTCAGCGCAAGGCCGCTGAGTCACTGCCGGGTTGCCGGGTCGCAGCGGAATTCTGCCTCCTCAGGTGACCATCCTTGCACGCGAGATCGGCTTGAAGATCGAGCTCGATGATGTCCCGGCACTTGCCTCGCCACGGTGTTGCTGAAAACCCTTTGCGGCACCGAGCCACGCAGGTGAAGTCTCTGGTCCCGGAGAAGCTTCAGAAGCCCTTCCCTCAGTGTACGTGTATGGTTTTATTTCTCAGGGTCGAGTTTCAGTGCTAGAAGTTAGGAGACTGAAGCTGCTTTTCTTGTGTTGTGTGAAGCCTCGTGTCAGTTGGGAAGCGCCCGATGGCAAGAAGCTTGGAGATGCTTTTGTGGAGGCATCTTCCAACCGCTGGACTTGCATGGGAGTTAGGGCCCTGTCCCTGAAGATCGCCTGCACATCACGACTGACTACACAGCGTCTTGGCAGGAACTGACAGCCTATGATGATGAGCCTGTGCCCAAGTCTATGCAAAAAAGCCTTACGATGCCGGTTTGTTGCGTTCGGAAGCCGTCGGTGTGAGGATGGATGCCCTTCTGGAAGAGGCCGAGAAGGCAAACGAGGTACTCCGATTCGTTGGGTCCGTGGACGTGAAGTCGGGCAAGGCGCCGCTTTTCCGTTGCAGCTGTCTGCAACTTCGATGCCCCTTTCGTCGTGCAGGCCTCGGTGAAGCTCGGCAGATATCCCAAGGACGTATGAGAATCAGACCCGTTTTGCACCGGCTTCATGAGAAACGGAGGACCACCCATTCGCCTCCACCCAGTTTGCTGACAACATCTGCGCAGTTTCCTCGAAGCCCTGGCCCGAGAGCTTTCCAGAGCTTCTGCCCTTTCTTTCGCCCTCTTTTGGCATGGACTCGCGACACAGCGTCCGCACTGCACTGTCACTGTTCTCGTGTCGTCGGTTTGGTCCCTATCGTTCGTTTGTGTCGCTAGGCCCCTCATCTCTGCTGTGTACCCAAGCGCAATCCACCACGTCAAATCACAGCAAAGCCCAAGCGATGCTGGGCAGTTGATGCTTCAGTTGAACCTTCCGAAACAAGGAAGCGTTTCAACCTGCAGATTTTGCCTGGCATGTTTTTGTTTTATGCAACACGAAACGAGGATTTGCCATGCTTGCTTCCCACTCTCTCAGGCGGTTTGGGGGTTTAAAGTTTAGCTACAAGGCTTGTCATGACTTCGAGGTAGTCTAGGTTTAATCACTAATTCGGGTTCGCCACTCCTTTCAGTTTCGGGTTTGCCTTTGCAAGTCTTCTGACAGTTGAGGTCTTACCATGCCCGTTGGCGGGTTCAGGGCTTGCCATGTTCTTTGTTTCGGTTTGCCGAGCGCTTCCACTTATATAGTGCTTGGTTGTCTTATTGCTCCTTGGATTCGGGGGAAGTTTTTCCGTTCATCACTGTTCGTGTACGCTCCAGGGTTTGCCAACCCGTTCACGGTTCAGTGTTTGTTGGCTGTTTTGCTGTGCTACTGCCTCTTCTTGAGGTTTGTTGTTGCCTATTTCGGGATTGCCACTGACGCCTTGTTTGGGAATTCTCATCGTGGTTTGCTGCAGGATGTGCAAGGTTGTAGATGTTTGTTTTCGCTGCTCTTGTGATGGTTTTCGGCGCACGGCACCTTGAAGGTTTTGCGCTTGCCACTGCTTTGACGGTCTCGGGCTTGTCAGTTCTTTTGAGGTTTAAGTTTTGTGATTCTTCTCTCTCATAGGCTTTGTGGCGTTCCATTGGTTTTAAGGGGTTTTGGTTTTGAAAGTTTCTTCGTGTAGGGTGTGCCAACCCGACGGTGTGTGGCTTGCCAGGCTTTGGGTTTGTGACTGCCGTGAGGGTACGCGCGGTACATCATTGGTTTGGATGTCTGACGGTTTGAGGTTTGCCACTCCTTTTGGGGCTGAGTGTTGGTCCGTAGGCCTTCAGGCGGCAGGGCTTGTCGCTCCTCGAAAGGTCTCAGGGTCTAGGATGAGGGATGGTGAGGGTTGAGGATTTGTGCTGGTCATTCCGCGAGTGGTTTTGGGCTGACCATTCCCTTGAACGCTTCGGGGTTTGCCAAATTTATCCCTTTTGGGGTGTGGGTTCCGGTTGAGCCTGTCCCTCCATGTTGTGGAACCTGCCATGGATTTTTCCATGCTTTTCGTGGTTCAGTTCTGCCATCCTTTCGACAGTTTGGGGTTTGTCTGTTGTTCTGGGGGTTTAGGGTTTGTCCTTCAAGTGTTCGGGGGGTTTCGGGGCTTGTCACTGTCGCAGTCTTACAAGTCTGTTTCTGGTTATTTGTGTCTTTTTTGTTTGTTTGTTTCACTTGCCACTTGCTCATGGTTTGCCTGTGGGTTTCATGGTCCTTGTGAGGTTTGTGAATTTCTTTTCCTGCATGATGAAGCGTTTCATAGCTTTCTGCACACTTTGGGGCGTGCCACCCACCTTGAGATTTGGAGTTTTCTGCTCTGGTCTTCGTGGCTGTTTGGGTTGTCAGTGCTTGTCAATGCCTTGGCCTTCTTCGGGTTAGGGTTTGCTGCCATTGCCTGTTTCGGGTCTGCCACTTATGCTTTTTCGATCTTTTGGTATGTCATGGTGTTCAGCGTCTAGTGTGAGAGGGTTTCCCATTCCATTAGCGCTCGGATTTTGACATTCTAGGCTTCAGTGGGCTTAGTGTTCGCTGCTCTTTTAACCCTTTCAGGCGCACGGCTCCTTCAAGGTTTTGCTCCTGCCACTGTTTTTGACGGTTCTTTTGGGCTCGTCTTGTAGGCTTTACGATGTGCCATTGCTTTTCGGGTTTAGGTTTTGCAAGTTGATTCGTTTAGCGCTTGCGAACCTCTGAACGGTTTGCCATTCCGCTTGGGGCTAAGTGTTTATCACTTAAATCTTGTTGTTTTGGTGTTTGCAATTGTCAATAGGGCCAGCGTTAGTGACTGGCTTTGAGTTTAGGGTTTGCCAGTCTTTTCCCAGCTTGAGGTTTGCCACTCCTTTTAGGGTTTAGTGTTGGCACGCAAGCTTTGCGGCTACCGGTTTAAGGTGAGGGCTAAGGACTTGCACTTGCCATTCCTTTAGCGGTTCAAGGCGTGCCATTCCGTTTTGATTTTGAAAGTCTGCTACTTTCGGCTTGAAGGCTTCGCAGGTTTTCCTCCACGTTTGTTTCCAGTTCAGGGTGTGCAGCTCCGTAAGCTCAAGGGTTTGTCATGACTTTTTCAGGTTTCTTTTTTGGCATCGTTTGCAGGTTTGTCAAGTTGTCGACGGTTTAAGGCCTGCCACTCGATTCTGGGTTCACATTTGTATTTGGCCGCATGGCGGCGGGACATGTCTGTTTAGGCCATCATGTCCTAAGTGATGGTATTTACAGGACTGTCGTGGCTTGGAGGCGAAGATTTGCTTGACATCTGACGGGTCCGTTGAGGTAGCTCAAATTAAATTTAGGGCACACTTCTGAGTCTCAGCACACTCGCCCAAGTGCGTTTTCCCAGTTGGCAATACGAAGCTGGACACATACTCGAGTAACAGCACGTTCAGTGCTATCCTGCTTACTCGGGTTGCATTTAAACAAGCGAGCAGGAGCGCCATTGAGATGTGCGCTAAAGCTTAGGTGCACTTATCACACACTCGTGCTTCGCGGAACGATTGAGCAGAGATTGTGATGAAGCTCAATCGTGTACAGAATGATCCCGGCGACCATGAAGATACTAGCAATGTCTATGTGCTTGATGTGGTTCATGTGACCCAGCAGTCACGTGGCTCAAGGCTCATGATGGATTACACGCATCACCGAGTTCAGGACTAGTACAGAAGAAGAAGTCGTTATCGTGGTTTTCCCACGCTGCCGACAAAAAGCATTTGTGTAGCTGTGCGCGGCTCGTCCTCGTCTGTGTCTGCGGGCGCGCGGGTCTTGGGTTTGCAGGTTTCATGCTTTCCGGTTTAGGTGTTAGGGTTAAGGGGTTTCACGCATTGAAGTCACACCTGACGTTCTCAGTCCGGCCCCTCACCAATCCATGCGATGTTGAGAACGCCCGAAAAAAAGACCAAGATAGGGCTGAAATTCCCAAGAAACCGCGGCCGTGTGTATGTGTGTGCGTGCGTGTGTGTGTGTGTGTCTGGGTTTAGGGCTTGCGACTTCTTTTGTGGTTGGGAGTTTGATACTGGTCTTCTAGGCTTGGTTTGTCAGCGCTCAGATTTATGCCGTGCAAGTTTGAGGGTTTAGGGTTTGCTACTGTTGCTTATTTCGGGTTTGCCACCTGACGGGACGCCTACTTGATGGGGAATTATAGATCTTGTCGGCTTCAGGGTGTGTCAATGCATTTGGGATTGGTGTTTGCCGGCATTTAGGCGCACGGCTCCTTGAGAGCTTTGCGCTTGCCTCTGCTTTGACGGTCTCGGGCTTGTTAGTTGTCTTGATGTTTAGGTTTTTTTTTGCTGTGTGGTTTGCCATTGCTTTCGGCTTTTCGGGTTTAGGTTTTGCAACTGTAGTCTTGGCTTGAGGTTTGCCAAGCTTTGGAGTAGGGCTTTGCACTCCTCCTGCGCTTGAGGGTTTGTCACTGAGATCTTGGTGCTTCAGGCTTTGTGATTGCCACTAGGGTTTACACGTAGGTCTTGTAGGCTTCAGGTTTCCACCATTTTGCGGTTCAGGGTATGCGGCTCCTTTCGGCGTGTAGTGTTTGCCACTTTTTGTTGGTTTCGGCTTGCGACGTGAACCCATTTGGTGGTTGCTTCTGTTACTGCTCGGAGGGTTCAGGATTAGCTCATCCGAACCCTTTGGTTGTTTAGGGGTTGCCTTTTTTTGGTTTGAGCGCTTGTCACTCGTGTTGGGGGTCAGGGTTCGGCACTGAGGTTTTGTAAGCTGAAGGGTTTGCCATGATTTTTCGGGTTTAGGTTTTGCATGTTGTGGCTTCATGGCTCAGGTTTGCCAACGTTTCGAGGGTTTGGGCTTGCTGCTCTTTATCGGGTTTAGGCTTTGCTATCTGGTCTTGTCGATTTTAGGGTTTGTCTTACGGCTTGTGGTCTGTTTTTTGTGTTCGCCTCGTTTGACACTTTTTTTTTCCGGCCTTTGGGATTTCTTTTCAGGTTTAGGGTCTAGGGTTTGCTATTCTATTGGCGGTTTAGGGCGTGCGCCACTCGATGCTAGGTTCAGTGTTTAGCACTCACGATGACGTCTTCCAGGGTCTGAGTTTGTGATTTCGTGTAGGGTCTTGGTTTTCCAATCTGTTCGTTGCCTTGAGGTTCGGAGTTCGCCACAATGGTCTTGTAGGCTTGGTTTGTCATTGCTTGCTGGTGTTCAAGTTTATGTTTCGGGTTTTGGTTGTGCCGCTGTCGCTTATTTGGGGTTTGCCACGAACTTCTTGTTCAGCCTTTCTAGTTGTGGTTTGCGGCAGTATCTGCACGGTTGTAGGTGTTCATTTGCGCTGCTCTCAGACGCGCGGCTTCTCGAAGGTTTTGTTTTCAACGCTGCTTTGACGGTCTCGAGCTTGTCAGTTCTTTTCAAGTTGTGTAGGTTTGGAGGCTTAAGTCTCAGTTCTCAGCTTTGTGTGGCTTGCCTTTGCTTCCGGTTTTAGGTCTCGTCAACCTTTGGACGGTGTAGAGCTTGCCAGTGCTTTTGGGGTTAAAGGGTTGTCATTTGAATCTTGTAGTTGTAGGGTTTGTGAATTACCAACGCAGGGTCTACCGGTCTACCGCTTGTCATTGGCTTGGAGTTGGCCAGTCGGCCAGTCTGTTCACGAGTTGAGATTTGCCACATCCTTTCGGGTTCGCAGGTAGGTCTTTCGGCGGCAGGGCTTGTCGCTCCTCCTAGGCCTCAAAGTGAGAAATCAGGATTTGCGTTTGCCATTCTTGTAGCAGGTCGAGGCTACTCAGTTTTTGTAAGGTCACTCCGTTTGGGCATTTAGCAGTTTTTAGGGTTTGCCACTTTTTGTTGGTTCCCTAAACCCTAAACCCTAAACCCTAAACCCTAAACCCTAAACCCCTAAACCCTAAACCCTGTAGCCCCTAAACCCTAAACCCTAAACCCTAAGCCCTGTAGCCCCTAAGAGAGCAGACGCCGGCTTCC